TTGTGTGCTACATGGAGTGTGGCGACTTGAACTGCCGCACATATGTGCAAATTTCTATGTCGAAAACCGACCGACTGCTTATCTCAAGGTTTTTGGAAGCCCTAGTGATGAAGAAATTTAGTTAGCCTCTATATCTTCATAAGCAATTCGTCATTCCATGGAACCGTCTTTGGTAAACTTTGTTTTGATACCAGGATACATGTACTATTATCCCCCATCTATGGATTGTTGATCTTCATTGTTAGTTTGACCTTTTAACTTCACCTATGTCTATTCCCTCACATCTTAATCGACACTCATAATTAGTGTTCATACTGAGTTTCATTCAGACTGAGTCTAAACTTCATATGAATGAATGATAATATCAATAATGGAGCGAGACAGTGGCGTAGGTCGCTGTGTGCTTGTGTCAGTGTATAGGTGAATTAAGAGAGATCAGTTAAGAAAATTAAAAATTAAAAAAAGTAAAACCAGCAACTGATTATCAATCTGATGCACACTAGCGATTGGCCCTATTCAGGTAGGTGGTTACCTCGGTTCTAGTGAGAAGCTGTGACGAGTAGGGTACAGCAGATCCGGTGTGAGAACAGATACTCGCCGATGACATTGAACAGTGGTTGCGTCATAAGTAAATAACACTGCATAAATGTGTGCTTTTATAAAATAAATTTACTCCATGTTGGAATAATTTCGTTGTGCATTGAAGTTTTTGTATCAATTACATTGATTTTCCGGGGTAAGGTCACTAGCCCTATGTCCAAGCTTATCTCTTTTCCCAGGTTTAGGACTGACTCATAAACTAGCGAACTAGTAAGCACCAAAAGACTCATACACCACCCATTATCTGCAACGCATCCAGAAATACCTCCAACAGCTGCTGAGCTACCAGTGGAAATCAATTCACCAACAAAAGGACAAGTATTGGTTTTGTAGGGATTTTGTTTGATTGCATGGAGGATTTCATCATGAGCTGACATCAGTTAGAGAACCATTGGAAAACCGTGACCAGTACGGTACAGCAGGTTGAAGATGAGGCAGTAACTCATCGAGGAAGACATTGCGAAATGGTCGCGCTATGTCGCGAATCGGCTGAAGTTAGAATTCATGGACCGGCCGTTGGATCGGGTCCCAGTGGCTCAACGGTCTACGAGCTCGCCTTGTAGCCAGAAGGTCCTGGGTTCGAACCGTGCAGTGTGGGTGCGTACTGATGAGGACCCCCAAACTAGGACGAAACAGCTGCCAAGTACTCCCAGGTTTTCCAGTGGTTCTCTAACTGATGTCAGCTCATGATGAAATCCTCCATGCAATCAAAAACACAAGTCTTGAATGGAATAATGTTACTGAAGGCTGGCCGGTAAGGCACCAGGGCGGGACGGAACTACCTCTGAAGGTCTGGAAACGGATACAAAGATTACGGTGGGTGTACTCACACCACTGTTGCCAAAGGTTTAGGAGGAAAGAAAGGCTACCTTGTGAAATTACCAAAGAATGAAGACAAAGGCCTCTGCAAGAACTGGCGTGGAATAATACTCTTGTCCACGCCAAGTAAAATACTAAGTCGCGTCATTCTGGAGAGAATAAAAAATGCAATGGATGCAGAACTCCACCAGTTGGAACAAGCTGGATTGAGGGAAGGCAAATCATGTGCTGATCAAATTGCAACTCTACACATCATCATCCAACAGAGTGTAGAAGGGAAGTCAAATGTATGCCTCAATTTTGTTGACTTTGAAAAGGCCTTCGACAGACAGCGTTGACTGAGAAGTAATTTGGAAACTAATTCAACAACTATATGACAATGGAATGCCACATATCAAGTGATCCACAAAGGAAGACTAAGAGAAACCTTTGAAGTGAATACAGGCGTAAGAATAGTCTGCCTGTTATGGCCAATGATATTCGTCATTGTAGTGGATTGGGTTACACGTCATATCGCGGGAAATAAGAAGACAGGAATAAGTTGGACTGACCGATAGGAGGACTCTCGAATATTTGGATTTCGCAAATGATTTGTATTTAATGTCACACAAACGTTAAGACTTACTAGCGAAAATCAAACTGGTAGGAAAAGCAGCAAAGACAGGATTTCAAGAGAAAATAAAGAAGACAAAGTAATGAAAATAACCATCCATGACCACCAACAAAATCCAACACCAATCATCATCATTTGGGGAAATTTGAAACAAGTTGCTTTCTTCACTTATCTAGAGAACACGGTTTCAACCAGGAGTAAACGTATGTGTAGGTCAAAGTCAGAATCAGAAAAGGGAAGGCAGACCTTTACCATTCTGAAATCCGTTTGAAAATCCTCTGCACTCAGCATAGAGAACAAGATTCGGATTTTCAACACAAATCTGAAGTCACTTCTTTTAAACGGGTCAGAAACTACGACAGCTCAGCACGGAAAGCATTTCCAACGGGTTACAGGTGGTTTCGTTGGCTCCATAATGAAGATCAAATGGCCGGCTAGCGAGAAAGAATAAGCAACGAAGAACTCAGGGATAGAACCATCCGAGAACCTATTACTGAACAAATATTCAGGAGAAAATGGAGATGGACTAGACATACGCTGAGGAGATCCGTTGAATGAAATTATACTCCAGATTGTCGAGTGGAGCCCTAACAAGAAGCGGAGAGTTTGATATGGATCTGATGGTGACATGGAGGAGAACATGTGAGAAGGGGATGAAAGCTTAGTGGCATTTGTGGGGCCATCCAAAAAGCAGTGCAGGGAAGAGGAAGAAATGGTATCAAATTTAGACCTATTGCTAATACACCTCTTTTTTTGAAAACTATGGAGAAATTACTTTTACTTAGTCTTGTACCTTCGCTTATATCCTTTAATGACCCTAAACAATTTGCCTATGAGCACAGTAGAAGCACTTTAGATGCAGCTGCCGTCTTATATCATAACATTGCTTCCAGTCTAGACAAGGGGGCTAAATTTGTTCGTTGTGCCTTCCTAGACTATACATCTGCTTTTGACTCGGTCCCTAGGGAAATCTTATTAAATAAACTTGCTGCAAGTCAAACAGAATGTTAGGCTGTTAACTGGTTACATTCTTATTTCTCAGAAAGAAAGCAGTACACCGTGTATAAAGGGAAGTCTCCCACTTCATTGCCTACTGAAACTGGTGTCCCTCAAGATGCCGTCCTTTCTCTTTTTCTTTTTTTCTTTCTTCTTACATGACTTGCCTCACTCTGATGAAATAAACTTTGTGAAGTACGCTGATGATTTAAAAGTTTCAATGTCTGAGTCTAACGGTCTTAAACTGAATCCTTCTAAATGTCAAACTGTTAATTTCAGCTTAAGATGTAAAAGACAGTTAGAAGAAGCCGTCGATTCTCATGACAGTTGTAAGATTGATGACAATGATATAGGAATTAAATCAGAAATTAAGTATCTTGGACTTATTCTCTCTTCTGATCTCTCCTGGTCTTTCCATGTCTTAGCGATCTCCAGTAAAATATTCCGCCTGACATTTTACATTAAGAAGTTAAGGCACTCGGGTATAACTCAACCCCTCCTCTTACAGTTCATAAACTCTTGCATCCTACCTATTCTTCTTTATTGTTCACCCTTATTCTTTCCTGGTTTGCTTAAAAAGGACTATGTCACAATTCGTAGAATGCTGAAGACTGTCAGTAGGATGAGTGGTGTCCCAGTGGACCACATAGTTAACGTCGTTGTCGATAGGCACTTGACTTCGTGCAATAAATTTGCTAGAGGGATTTTGTCTGACTTGGAGCATCCACTTTACCCTCAGCTTTCACCTTGCATCTCCTCAGGTAGAACAAGAAGTAACTTCAGAAAACTGTATGCTCGCACGTCTAAGTATAAAAATTCTATGATACCATACTTGGCACGTATTTTATGTGATGAAAATAGTGTCAGGTAAGAATTGACTAACCTTTTTTCATCTAGTAAATAAACAATCTCCTCCATCTATCCTTATATACCTTCAAGTTTTACTTTTATTATTTCTATTATATTTATGGTCCTGTTGCTTCTTTGTTTTTACTTTCATAACTGCAAACACCAACTTATCTCTATGACTGCTGTAATCTTTGTTTTTTCCCCTCACCATATCATGTAAAGAGAAAATTATATTCAATATTTTTAAACATGCTAGGATTTGTATACCGCATCGACAATACTGTGTGAAACAAGCCCACGGCAATTTTCACTTGTATTATTATCATTACCTTAGCTGTTATCATTACTATTATTTCCATTTTATATGCTGCATGTTTTTGACATTACCCCTATTGTTAATGTAGAAAAATTTTGTGTGATTAATTTTATTTATAATTTGAGGAAATTAGATGCAATATTGTGATTAATGCTGAAAATTCCATTCTGTATCACAAGTACTGTTTTTGGAATAAAGTGAATAATTATTGTATTATTATTATTATTATTATTATTATTATTATTATTATTATAATTATATACTTTTAAGGCCCTTTATTCCACTTGAAATCCAGGGGATTAATAATAATTATAACAATTATTTTTGACGATCTTTCATACTACTGAAACATATTACCAAGTAGCACAAAATGTATCATGAAAAAAACACAGCCACTTCTCATTTCAGGTTTTTATTTTTTTAGTTCAAACATTATTATGATTATAGTTTTGTCGTTTAAAAATACAATAATTATACAGGCAGAAGAAATAAAGAAAGAATGACTCATTAATTTTAAGTAAATTCATCAGTTTCCTAGACTATTTATATGTGTATTTAAGTAATATGTATCATTTGAGCATATTTGTTTTGGCGCACAGCGTCTGTCATTCTACTCCTTTTGCTGCCATTGTTACTGGTCAGTTGTTACATTTGTTTCCATTACTGATTCTATTTGTTTTCTCGTCTGTTTCTCTCAGATGTATGTGATTGTTTACAAATTGAAATATGAATAATGATTACAACATGTGTGGAAAGAAAATTCTTTTATATATCGTTTTGTCATACATATATGTATATATGTAAACAATTTTACAGGGGAGGAAAAAACAAACAAAAAGAAAAGGGGTTTTCTTTGTATTAATTACTATGCATTTGTTTGTTTGGTTTTTACATTTAAAAGTTGTGAATAATACTAATAATAGTAATAGTAATAACAATGTTTAGTGTACATGCGATCATCGATGGGAGTCACAGTAGTACTGTTTAGAAAGGTAACTTATGTATGTGTATATGTATATAAATGTTTTATTTTGAAACATCCATCACCTTGGATAACTCAATGAGTACGTGAGTGAGTGACTGACATTATTGCCAGTCAAGGAGAAAACCAAAAAGGGTCAAACCAACCCAAAGTACTTCTAATAAGTAAAAAACAATACATTGAAGGGAGGAAGAATGGAAGGAAGAAACGAAGAAAGTAATAGTTCAGTAGTTCTCCTCTATCATGAATTTCCTTCTCTTTTTCTGTCTCATAGATTTGAGTCAACTTTTATCAACATCTTCAGAGGATGTTGCATAATTTTCAGATGTATTTACGTTTTTTTGTTCATTACTCACCAAATCAATTATTTGTCTTCTTGACTTACTATTCATACTCCCACTACCACTACTACTACCATTACCACCACTCAAAACAGTAGATCGAGTCGATGTATTCATTATACTTTTCATCATTCTATTTTCATGTTTTGATGATGTAAATTTATCATGTAATCCTGATGTTGATGATGATGACATCATTGTATCCGCTGGAGGAGTTGATGCTACTATACCTTCTGTTGTCTTTAATGCCGGTAGCACTGATGTCGAACAACCGGATACACCTGTCACTGGTGTCGATGACGCCAGATCAATAATTACATTCTCCGAATATCTTGTGTGTAGTAATTTTAAACGATCATTAATATTCACTCTATTATTATTATTATTAGGATTAACACTGGAATCACTTTGTTTTGAATACTTACGTAATATATTACTCGAGTGAGTAGTGTTCACAATATCTGACGTTTTTCTACTAGAATATTTCGTCTGATTTGTAGATTGAATGATATTTGATCGATTTTCACTTGGTGTCGAAGATATATTCTGATAACTGCTATTATTACTATTACTAGTGTTATTATTTAACTGTTGGTTATCTAATACTACTGATCTATTATTAAGTAGTGCAGATAATTCTTCTTTCAGTTCATTTTTCATTTCATTTTTAAATTGATTCCAATCATCAATATATAAACCTTTTGTAGCTATTCTATTATTGCGTTCATTTAATTTCAATACATCAATTGGTATATCATTGATGGATGCCAACTGCATAAGATCTTTATAAATATCTTTTGATTCTTTATCATAATTTAATGAATATTTCTTTCGACCGCCTTCTTTAATCTTTGAATCACTTGATGTCGACTGAAGGTGGTGATGGTGGGGTTGTTGTTGTTTTTGACCTGTGTTAATATTTGTTGTACTATAGTGTATATTTCCCTGTTCACTTGAGTCTATTACCGAGGTTGGTATTGATGGTTTTGTTTTGTAAAGTTTCCTTCGATAATCGGTTAACTCGTCTCTAGGATATGATGATGTTGTCATTGATGTTTGTAATGTTGATGTTGTTGGCATTGTTGTTGGTGATGTTTGTGGGTGTATTGTAGCATTTTGTAAAATTGTACTCTGTTTACCCAACTCATCAACAAGTTCTTGTTTTAAAGTTTCCAGCTGGCATACAGCGCGGACAATTTCACGTTTTCTATCTTCGCGTAATTCAAATCTATAAAATGAATATCAGGCATTTTAGATTGAAATAATGAAATAATTTAAATCTAATAAATATAATTTATAAATATTATAGTTAACAAAATAAAATCAGGTGGCGATTTACAGAAGTTTGATTGATTTCATGTTCGATGATGAATTGACTTCCCCCAGAGAACTATCGAAAACCACGGTGTACTGAGAAAGTATTTCGTCCTAGTTTGGGACTGTTCATCAGCATGACTACACCTGTTGACCATCCAGTCACCTGTATAATGTCAAATTGTGGTGAGAGATGGTTGCTAGCCAAATTGGTTGACAGTAATTGAGGTCAATGTTAGTCATGTGAAAACCAGGTCAAGATGGACAGCAAGACAAAAGAGCAAAGCCCCAAGAACCGACAAGACCGAACCAACTTCAGTCGCAAGTCTTTGACGGGGGGACGAGTGTGGTGAGAGATGGTTGCTAGCCAAATTGGTTGACAGTAATTGAGGTCAATGTTAGTTATGTGAAAACAAGGTCAAGATGGACAGGTGGATACAGTTAACATATAGATGAACTGACATAGCCACAAGAGATGCAAGGTTAACTTTGTGTGAGAAACAACCAATCAACAGACTGTATTTTCTACTAACATTAACCTACAATAATGTACATCAAAATCTATAAATATGTGTTGATTTTCCGTAATAAACGTTCTGTTGCCTGGCCCTTGTCTTCTGTTGTTACAAAATGGCCTATGAATTATAACTTGTGCCAGTTTGTAGTATATGGCACTATCACCGGTAAGAGTTCTGGATTCTGTCTGTATTGGGGGGTGGGGTGGGCGTATGCATATGAAGAGCCCTGAACAACGGAGAAACAGCCATGCAGTGTTTGAGTAATGGTTTTCAATATTTCTCTAATTGAAGTTAGTTCATGAATGGACTTGGAAATAAAATCGGTTATGATTGCAGTGAAATTCTAGCCAATATACTTTTGAAGTAATCTGAAGTTAACTCTACAAGTGTGACGACAGAAGACAAGGGCCAGGCAACAGATCGTTTACTGAGAAAATCAAAAGGTATTTATAGATTTTTATGTGCATTATTATTAGCGTTATTGTTAGCGGAGAAGCAACCTCTTCTGATTGGTTGTTTTCATGCTGAAGGTTATTCTGTCATCTCTTTGTGGCCGTTTCTTAGAAAGTCAGGCCGTATATCTGCGAATCATATTTGCACACGTTAAGTCTGCTGTGATTGGTTGGTGAGTTCTTCAGGTTTAAGCTTTGTTATTATTTTTTCTCATGACCCCGATTCGGGACGTAAACATTGAGGTTAATTGTTGTCTACAATTCTGGCTTGCAGCGAGCTCTCACCACAATCTGAAGGCCTTGAATTCGATACTAGGTGAGGTGATGGGTGCGTAAGGGTTCCAAATTGTAACGAAATAGGACTGTTCAGTACTCTCTAGTTTCTGGTGATTCCCTAATGAATGTCATTTTGTGACGTACCTTGAAACCTATCAAACTCCTTGCAAACCAATATCTGCCTGGGTTGGGTAAATTCATTTTTCTTATTTCTGAGAGGCGTTCTACTAATTTCATATATAGGTCATAACAGTAAAATGAGTTTATTATGCAAACATTTGTAAACATTTAAGGTCAATACTCGTATTTATAGGTTGTATCATAATGAACGAGGATTTTACTAGGCTGGGGAATTCAGTTAGCGAGTTAGATTTGTCTACTTATAAATACATCAGTAGTAAGTGTGGTAAAACTAGTGTTACAATCATTCAGCTATCTAGTTGTGTATACAACTTGTAGGTTTCACAAATACTTAAGTGTCACTACCATACATTTACAAAGTAATGTGAGTTGTTTACCTTAAACTGGATATATCCTGTTTTATTTCTAAGAGATCATCTTCATTCACACCATCTTGTCGCATTGTTTTCTTTGATTGGTGTATGTATCTTCTGACAAGTCGTCGCATAACTGTCTGTAAATATAAGACAAAAAACAAACAAACAACAATAAGATTAAACAGCAAACAGGTGATTTAGTTGCCATTAAACTTTCAATGGAAATAAGCTACAAGAATTCCAGTAGCATAATTGAAAGTAAAAGAGGCAATCTTCTGTCTACAAGTCAAAATGTCAATCTGGTTATGCTTGTTCTGTGTGTTACTAACAATAATTTATAAGTGGTTTATTAAATGTGATATCTTCTGAAACAGTCTTGAACTACAGAGAGACGAGTTAAGTTGGGAATAAGAGAAATGAAGATATTTACAACACATTATGGAAGAACGAAGGGAAGACAAAAGAAGCAGAATGCAAAGATAAGAACAGCAAAGTATGATAAAGAAGATTTGTAGCTCAGGTGGATGATTTTGATATGGTTGTGTTCTCTGAGCTAACTAGATGGTTAATTTGCGAAGCTTTTATCGCCCTACTAGGCGAAATCTTCAGCGCATACTTCAATTTGAATTGAAGTGAGCTTTTAGATTTCTCCACGAGTTTATTAGTCATCTCTCATGGTGACCTTGAGCGTGGTTGATTGCTTTCGTGTGTTTTCACACCTTCTGGGCTACTTGTATTGGAACTGATTGTTTCTTTGACTTGAAGTTTGACCCCTTGTGAGTGAGGTTTCTTTCCTATCGGTTGATAAATTTTGTCAATCTCAATGTGTCTATTGATTGATGATTCACTGGAATGCCAAGCTTCTAAAAATTCTCTAGCATTTTTGTTGTTTCCTCTGTCTAGTATTTGAACATTGTCCCAGTCGAAATGATGTCCGTGGTTGTCTATATGTAGTGATATGAGGAAGTGGATGCCATGTCTTTTGATGGCTAGTTTATGTTCGTGGATACGAATACGAAGGGGACGTCCGCTTTGGCCAATGTAGTGATTTTCGCAGTTGTTACAATTTATTTTGTAGATGATGTTGGTTTTATCTTCTTTCGCTGCTGAATCTTTTGGTTGACATAGAATTGAGTGAAGTGATTTTGTTGGTTTGTGTGCAACGTCAATTCCTAAAGGTTTGAATAGTCTTACAATGGCTTCTGAGATATCCTTTATGTGTGGAAGAGCGATTTTCTTTTCGCTTTCCTTGGGGGATTTTGGTGTGATAGGTTGGCTTGAGAAATTCCGTGGATATCCATTCTTTTGGAAGACTTCCATGAGATATCTTTCTTCAATTTTCCTAAAGGTGGAAGTGCTGCGATGATTTCTGGCCCTCTTGAATAGTGTTTTCATGCAATTCCTTTTGTGTGTTATTGGATTGTTGCTGTTGTAATTCAGTATTTGGTTTGTGTGAATTGATTTTCTATAAACTTGAGTTTCTAATTCCACTGTGGTTTTCTGCTTGACTAAGACCTCCAAAAATGGGATTATATGTTCTCGGACTCCTCTCCTCTTGTGAATTTGATGTCGTTGAAGACGTTGTTCATTTAGTTGTGAGTTTTATCTAACTCGTTTCTTTTGATTATTACAAATGTGCCATCTACTTAACCTATCCAAATTTTGGGTTTGATCTTTGGTAGGATTATGTTTTCGAGCCTTTGCATCACTACTTCTGCAGGGGTGAAGATTGGTAAGTACTGACAAGAGTTGCGTAATATGAAATAGGATGTTAATGGAGACACGCGTCTAAAATAAATTATGTAATAGGTAGAAAGAGTAAATAAAGGGTTGGTTAAGAAGAAGGTGTTACTAAGATGTCATACAAAAATTCAAAAAAACACAACAAAAAACCTACCAACAAAGTAGCAGAACTTGGAATTATACCCAAGGTAGAAGGAGGGCATGGAGAAGTTTCTTCCGTGAGCATAAATCAGGGTTTTCAATCCCGATCGCTAAGACCTCAGCAATGCAAAGTATCCAGAAGCTTACCGTTTTCGGGAGGCTTCTTTTGACTTTTTAGATGACTTTGAATGAATTCTCCTTGCAGATTGAGTGACCAGTGTGTGACTATCTGTTCAATTATAGCACTTTTTATTGATCCACTGTTACCTTTTCATAGCCAAGTGGGATAATATTCTTTGACTCTTTTAGATAAACACTCATAAAACGACCAATATATCTCGCTCCAAATAAAGCAGCGAATTGGTAGATACACATAGAAGTGGTCAAATGCCTTTTTTTTCTGGTATGAGTATTTTCCAGTAAAGTTGTGCAGTGATTAGATAGTACATTACTATTTAAAATACATATTTCAATCGCACCAGTTGATGAAATTCCTTGCTTTATTCTATGCCCACTTTCTGTTACCCTAACACTTAAAAAATGTATTTCTCAAGAGATCTGTGCTGAGATTGCATTGATGATTAACTCATATTTAATATCAACGTAGCTGCCGCCTATGAATGAAGTAATCAGCAGGCTGAGTGTATTAGCTTCCTGCTGAACACCATGGATCGTGGTTTGTCCCAAAGAGATATTAGAGGCAAAAAATACCTTTCAAAAATGATAATGTCATCGTGGAAGTATTTAGAAAACGATAAACCTTCAGAATGGTGACATATCTCAGTGGATTATTTAGCAGAATAGGTGATCTGAAAAAATACTCCATGATCAATCTGTTTATAGTACTGGTAATTATTTGAATACTTTTCTACTAATTTTGTAATTATTACCCTTTTCTTCTGACCTGTAAATCATTGTTCTAACATTTGTAAATATTCTTTTGACCTGCTCCTTATTATGTATCTTTTTTTGTTGATCCCAGTGCTTAAGGCTTCACTTTGCTGATGTGTAATGGTGCTGTTTTATAATTGTGCTGTTGTTTGAATGGACTCAAGGTTGCTCTATGGAATGACTGCATGATACCGAATTGCTTGCAACAAACATGTTCGTGCTGTTTGATTCTTACATACAGAGGGGGTAGAGACTCCGTCTTCTTGTGAATCTTCTTCTTGACTCTCAGGTATTTTATTATCGTGTTCGGCACTGCTGAGGTAGTTTTGTAAATTTTGGTTTAAATTATTATTGTTTAGTAGCATCACAGATTCTATCGTGTGATTCATTGACAGAAATAACAAACCAAGAATTTGGAGGAATGAAACTTCACTTGCGCCGAAAAAGAAACTCTACATGAACTCGGATTTCAATGGAGATTCAGCATGCGATATTCTCATGAGAAGGATCATATCATCTTTGAGAAGAAAATTCTTCGCAGTAACGCTAGGAATAAGGTTCTCCAGTCGCCCACTGATTGATCTGCAGAAGCCTTAAGGACAAGATCCCGCATCTGACCACTTCTGTATGCGTATTTCAATTCATCTGCTACTGTGGAGCCAGGTACATAAGTCGTTCTATGCGCATCCTGTCCAAGAGGATTCAACAACACTGTCCAGTATGGTTGCGAAAAGGCAGTATTAGTGCTATAAGGAGTGCGATAATTGAACACCTGGTTAACACTGATCATTCCATCTCAACAAAAGCCTCCTTCAAAGTAATCTACAGAGTTGAGAATAACCTACCAAAAGCAATACCATTTCGTCTTCTTTGTATCACTGAAGCTCTGGCAATTCACATAAAATAACCGGGGCTGTGCATAGAAAAGAGGATTACTCAACCACTTCTACTGTCTTGGTAACAACTTTTTCGATTTGATTGATTTTTTTGATTTTGATGACTTAATTTTGTTTCTTTGCCTGTTCTTTAATTGCTTATAATTCTTGTATTCATTTAGAACTCTTACGTAATTTCATATTCTCTACTTTGTTTCTATGTGCATCCTGAGTACAACTCAATCATCAAACTATTCATATTATTACGTAACTCCTTTTTAACAACTGTTTGTGACAACTCATCACCTTTGTTACTACACTAGTTTCATTAACACCCAATTTCCTTGTCTGTTTTTGTATTAAATAACTCTACCCAAAACTTACTAATTTTCACCTGTTTAGTTAAAATAACCATCACCAATTGCAGTTTGTACTTTGTTTGATAAACTAAATGTACACATGCATACAAAATAACTGTCATATATATTACGATTGTACAGCTAAGAAAATGAATTCGCCGAAAACAGAGACTTCACTGAACTACGTGTTCTGTTTTCATTAATGCCCGAGTGGGGACTATTCATGAATTAAATCGTATTTTGACACTGTTGAGAAACTAGACGGAAGAACTCAACGAGTTGGGCTTTTGAGTCATTACAGATTTATTTATTATTTGTTTATTATATTCCTTTGGGTTCCGAGTGAAACATATGGCTTCAAGCATAAGCTTTGAAGTGGCGCTTTTTACGGCGTGGAGTTGCTTGCCTCACACCAGATCTTCGCTTTTTATCGGAATTACAACTGGCTAGGGGAGGAAAAGATGTCCACCGACCAGGAAATCGAACCTCCGACCACATATATAATCGGCGAGTGTCCTACGACTGTCATTACAGATTAGGAGGAGGAAATTATAGCTCTCAATTTTCGAGGTTGAATGCTTACAATAAGATAACAGTCGATAGAGTTTGGAGTCTTAGTTTGCATTTGTGCCAAATAATTGGGGAACAGTTGTTATTTTAAGTGATTCGTGATAATGATAATAGGGATTCATTAGTCTCTTTTGGTAACTGACAGTGGAGACCAGAATGCTCACCCCACCCTGTTTGGCACTAGTTAGCTGGATGTGCCTGTGGTCCTCAGTGATTGGTGGTGGAAGGTGAACTCTGGATCAATTGTTTTAAATGCTAAGGTATTATCTACTGGGCAACTGGAGCCCATTTCTTGAGCAACTGGTCAACAGGAACAGACTATTTGGGTTCAACATAACCATTACTAAAATTTCATATAAGTGGAAAAAAATACATTAAATTGAGAGCCATAAAAATGATTTGTGAATTTCAGTTCCGTGCATAAGTGTTTACCTATCTGTCACTATTAATAATTTTATTTCGTAGACAAAAACAAGCCATTTTTACAGGCGAGAAGATATGAAGAATATTTTTAATTGCTATTAACCATGATAGCGAAATTTCTCTTTGAAATTTCAA